ACAAAGAGATTAAAAAACAGAGACAGCAAAAGAGAGCATAGAGAATCCAAGAGAACCGCACAGTCCGCTGTCTGGGAGCCAGTGTGGAGGAGGCCCAAAGTGCCTGGGGTTCAGATGACTGAGACCCTGGCCAGCTGGGGAGTCAGCAGAAGGCCAGTGGGACCCAAGACTGAACGCCTGGCCGGCCACTCACCCTGGGTAGAGCGGGTGCAGGCCCAGTGCGCCCCACGGCCAGGCAATGCCACCTCCTCCCCTCCGGGCCCTGTGAAGCCCAGGCCAGGGCGGGTTCACGGGACAACCCGCGCTGCCGGGACCTCCCTGCAGCTGGCGTGTGGGGTAACGAACATGATACATAACTCGGCCCTAACTTTCCTAAATGCATCCCTTGAAAAATATCTTAGAAAAGATGGTCCCTGGGGAAATAATGCCTACAAAGCATGCCGGAGCTCCCCTTCATGGACGGCCATGAGGCAACCTGGCAGAAAGTGCTACAGCAAAGAAGCCTACTGACCATCCTTTTTCAAGATGATTTATCACAGCACCCCCTCCTTTTTTATATGCACCACCTGCCTGCACCCTTTGAATTATTATTCTACTCCTCCGAAACTCTGCTTTCTCCAGGTTCCAAATTTCCAAAGAGCCTGTCTGATATCAAGATTAAGTGATCAGTAAGAAAAAAAAAAACAAAAACCCAATCAACTTTGATGTACAAAGCGAGGGGGGGAGACAAGGAAGGGGGAGATGCAGTCAGGGAGTGGAATGCGTGAGAGCTTCACCAAAGAGGGATCTGAATCTTTAAAATCCCCAGGAGGGTTGTGCTTGGAGCACAACAGACACTAAATTTTGCTTGAAATGAAAAAGGAAAGAACACAGAAGAGTAAACAGCATGGTGTTGAAGAATGAGATGGTCCTGGATCTGCAATCTGGTGCAACTGCGGAGCTGTGTGCCTCACGGTGAGTCCTGAGACCTCTCTGTGCCTCGGTTTGCTAAGCTGAAAAATGGACCTTATTAGGTCCATTATATACTATACAGGGTTGTTCTGAGGGGAAAGGATAAAAATGCACGCCAACGCCAAGCACATAGTACATGGCCCTCACCAAACAGACAAGGGAGGGGACAGGTGAGAGACTGGTGACAGGAGGACAAACCAACAGGGCTGGTGCTTTGAATCAGGGAAGCGATTCTACAGACCTCAAGCCACACGAGGCAGGGCACCTTTTCTGCTTAAGTGGAGGTGACCCACTTAAACAGTACTTAGGACAAAGAAATAGAGACCCACAGAAGGGGCAGGAAAAAGAGGAATCCAACTTCAATTACATAAAGTGAGACCAAGTTTGCTTCCCCTGTGGGAACAAACTTGCACTTAATGAGTTGTTTTGCCTTCAGCTTTCCCTGTGCTCTGACTGTAATTGACCTCTACATCCCGTCATCTTACAAGGTTCTATTTCTCTGTCTCCATTTATTATTCAAAATAGGAGCTGTTCTCCCAGAGAACTTTCAGGGCTGTAATCAAATCCTGCTAAAAGGTAAAAACAAAAACAAAAACAAAAAACTACAGCATTCATTCACATGTTATACTGCGGGCAGGGGGTGTATAATGAGGAGAGAGTCCTAAAAATACTTCCATTCAAAAAAAGAAAAGGAAAAAATTCAACCCTTAATCCTTAAAATAAGAATTTAACCCTTCTCCTTAAAATAAGTGACTTCTTACAAGTCTATAATGTCATGAAAAGATAACACTGAGAAGAAACCGTGTCCCTGCACCTATCTTTTAAGAAATTTATTATTTGGTGCATGGAGTCATCCTCTGCTCTATGAAAATGAAGTTCTCACTTAGCAAACATTTACGGAGCACCTACGATGTGCCAGGCAGGGTGCTGGGCACTGGGGACTCAGAGATGAAAACGGGGCCCCTACCACGTGCCCAACACCAAGCACCTTTACCGGCAGCATCTCGTGGAGCCGCCCAAGCGGCTAGTGCCACGTTACTCTCCAACTTGATGGAAGAGGAAACCGGGGTTTCCGAATAAGGCAGACCCGGTCCTGACCATGAGGCCCTCAAATACTCTGGCGGCCTGGGAGGAAGTCTAGTCCGGGGTCAGCAGAGAGTGGAAACGAAGGGGTAGGGCAGCCTCCCACAAGAGAGGCCTCTCACGGGCTCCAGAACTGAAGCTGAGTTTGCGGCTGCCTCCCTCCTCTGCCCCGTCTGTCTGGCTCTGGGCAGATGACTGGAGCGGGCCTGAGGCAGTAACAACAAGGTCAAGATGTCCCCCTGGGGCCAATGCCCAAGTAGCCAGCTCTTCCCAACAGCCTTCAGGACCGCTTTACTCCCTCCTCACTTCTGGCCATCACAACCTGCCCGCAGGAAAGGATCTGATGATGGTTCGAGCTGCCTCTGGGTAAAGGGATGTCACTGCCTTGAAGGGCAATCAGACTGGAAGCAAGAGGGAGCCTGGCAGGAGGAGAGAAGATGGGCTTTCATGTCAGAGGGGCCCAGGGAAAATCTGGACTCCACCACTTACTACCTGTGACATTCCCTCATTCCCTCATTCATTCACTCAATAAGTCAACTTATATTTATTGAGCACCTACTATGTGAATCAATGGGATTCAAAGGGAGCAGAAAGAGACATGGAACTTGCCCTCAAGGAGGGGCACCTCACGGAGAGACTGATTAGTGAGAGATAAATGTAAAATCACAGCAAGAGAAGAAGGGAGAGATACATATAAACATCACACTCAACATGGAAAATCTGACCTGGTCAGGTTTCCTGAGGAGACGATGAGTAGATACTGAGGGGTGAGTTACCTGAGGCCAGAGCCTTATTCCAGGCAGAGGGGACAGCAGGAGGAAGCAAGGGACCCGGAGCAGAAGAAAGCTGATGGGCTGGGGGCCCAGCACCGCGGTGGAATATAATGAGAAGCCCAGCGGGGCCCTGAACCCTTCTGCATCTCAACTGCCATGTTTATTAAAGAGGATGCTAATCCCACTCGACTCACAGGCTTGTCTTCAAAATCAAATGAGAGAATGAAGGTGAAGACCCGTGTGTGCCTGACACACCGTCGGAACTCTGACAACCGGGAGTTCCTGACGGACGCTGGCGCTCAGGAAGGGTTTTCCTGCAACAGATGGAGGAGGATGGAAGAAGATGCTAGTCCTCCCAGCGCCCCGAAAGCTTGCAAGACGAGATCTCTGGGTCTACACCCAGCCAAGTGTAGCCCCATGAGCTGCCAGACAACCTTCTATTCTAAATGTGGATTTCACAAGGATGTTATTGACAGCTCTGGTGTAAAAATAAACATGGGAAACAACTCAATATCCATCAATGGGGGCCTGGTTAGATAAACCTTGGTATTATCAGTTCAAAGGAATACAATGCAGCTCTTTAAAAGAAGGATGCAGGCCTACACGTGAAGTACAATAAAATGATGTCTAAAGTACATAGATAGGTGAGAGGAAAGTAATATAGAGAACAGGGGATAGAGCCGCTACTGGTTGTTAAACGTGTAGGTGTGTGCGCGCAGCTTACTCAAGCAGTGCTCAACTCTGTAAAGAGAAACCCGGGACGGATCACTGTTATTGCCTCTGGGCAGGACAATAAAGGGCCCGGGATAGGAAGGAGATTTATTTTTCACTGAACATACCCTTTTATACTTCTTGGCTGTTTAGCATGGATGGGTGTAACAAGGTTTGTCAAGAGCCCAAATTTTGACAATTTTCAATCGTTTAAAAAAAAAAATTCAGTCTTTCACAGCAGACAGATCTAGATCTGTCACTCCTCACCATGACTCAAAAAAACTCTTAAAAAAATTATGAGACAAGAAGAAATTTGAACACCGATATTCATTGGTATAGACGAATTATTGATAATGGAGGCCTGACCATGATATTCTATTTGTTTTCTTCATTTTTACAGCTACACACTGAAAAGTCTACAGATGAAACTGCCTGGTATTTGATTCAGACCAATATGGAGGGGAAAAGCAGGCACTGGTAACTTGAAATAAGATTGACCATGACTGACGACAGCTCATTTGAACAATGGTTACGTGAGTGCATCACACATCCGCCGACCTTCAGGTGTTTAACATTTGACATCATAAGAAAGTTTTAAAGCAAAGAAGAAGCTATTATAAATGTGCATAAAGGACAAGATGCTCTCAGCAATATGATTTGCAGTAGCAAAATACTGGAAACAACCTAAATGTTTATGAACACAACCAGATTTAAAATATTGTAGTATTTCATTCAATAGAGAATTAAAGAATCAAGAAAGTGAACAAACTAGGTCAGCAGCTCTCAACCAGGGGTGATTCTGTCCCCCAGGGGATATTTTGACAATGTCTGGAGACATCTTTGGTTGCCATGATTGGGTGGGGTGCTACTGGCCTCTAGTGAGTAGGAATCAGGGATGCTGTTAAACATCCTACAATGCGCAGGACAGCCACCCCACAAAGAATTAAATGGCTCAAAGTATCAAGAGTGCTGCAGTTTAAAATCCTCTATTAGATCTATGTGGGATGGTCCTCAAACCATAATACTAAATAAACATAAACACACATACACACAAGGCAAACAGATATGTACAAGTATACCATGTAGGTAAAAGTTACACAAAACCGAAACTATTTATTTCTATGGAAATTTATCCATGTAGTAACTATAAAAACAGGGAGGAGAAGGCTATATGCCAATTTCAGAATATCGATTATGGGTACAGGGCATGAAATGGTGCCAAGGGGACTTTGACAGATTTTGTAGCATTTTAATTACTTTACCCCCTCCCACCCAAAGGAAAGCAAATGTGGTAAAGGCTAATGCACGTAAAATCTAGATAGTGGGTACCTGGATGCTCCCTCTTTTAGTCTCTGTATTTTTCCATACCCTTGACATTGAACAAACGTAACAGCACGGCTGTGAGCAGCAGAGGCTGGGTGGACCGACAGACGGTGTGGGCAGAATGGCAAGGCCAGGGCCTTGCCGGGTGGGAACACTCACCGGCCCCCGAAGGTCGATGAGCTCCTGCCTCATCTGGGACACGAGGGCTTCCTTGGCCACCAGGGCCCGGTGCAGGCGCTCATTGAACTCGATCAGCTCCCCGTGCATCTCTGCCACCTGCAACACACAAGCACCATGTAGTGAGGCTCGGAGGGCAGACCCTCCCCACGATTCGCCCCGCCCTCTCCAAGTCCATCACTTGTCAGCAAGGCATCAGGAGGTTGTCAGGCTGGAAACAGTAACACTGCTTATACTTACGGACTAGCTACGCAATCCACTCAGAAGCTGGATACGTTTTTGACTTGGTTGATTTTAACATTATGGACTCAACGGTCCCCAGTTTATGGTCACAATATGATTGTATCATGTCATTTTTGGACCTTAGGCTTTTGTTCTTAATAAATGAATAATTTTCTGGCAAAGGCTTTCTTTCTCATTCGAGTTGTGCCTGTTAAGAATTTCCCCGCTAATGGTACAAGTAGAATGACCGACCATTTCTGTTCATCAGGGCCTTGGTTCTGAAAACCAAGAAAACAGAACCGGAGCCTTGTTGAGGATGGTGACAGTGAGGGTGACAGACACACCTGCAGCAGCACAGCTGCCCTATGGTCACTGCTCATGCTATGCCAGGAAAATACTTGAGGAAGATATTATTGCTCCTACCTCACAGAAAGAGGAACAATGTCAGAGGTGTTTAAGGAGCCGGGCCACAGTCACATAGCTAATAAAGGGCTGACTCGGCAGCCCTGGCTCTTGACCACTGGGCCACACTCCACAATCCTGCCGCTCCACCGTTTAGCCCATTCAGGCCTGCCAAGAGCCTGCGAATTTATCCACGTTTCAATACACTTGGCTGATCCCAAATAAATAAAAATGGAGGGTGCGATAAGATAGCCCATGACTGATGTACAGAATCAGTAACAGATCTTTCAAGCTGTAACTTACAAACAGAACAAAGATATCCCACATGGTCAAAACATACAGTAATTTCTCTGATTACAAGAGTGATCTTACTGGGGCTTAAAATCAAATTCAACTGTAATTTATTTAAATGTTTTAGAGAAATGTGAGAATGTAATCTTGCCATGCTCATCAGGAACCCTGAAGGAAGGATCTGGCAAGCATCTTACAGAGAAGCCCCCCAGAATGCAGAGGTCAGGCAGACCCCCACTAGCCCCTGTCCCTCTGCCCTTCTCAGAAGATCATCCCTCCTATACCCCAGACTTCAGCCAGGTACTTACTACATTCTATATAACACATAAATAGTATCAGACCGTTTATAATAAGTATTCTATGTGAAATATAAAACATACTGTCAGAATAAAGAAAGGATGTAAGGAGAAGCTCTGTGGGAAAAAGAAGAGTAACCTGAATCTTGATGCTTCAGGAGGAATAAAGGCAAGCCCTCCTTTTTATTTTTATTTTTTGGATATGTTATATAAAGGGTAAAAGGCATAGGAGGAAATAAATGAAAATACGAACATTAGTCAAGGGGTATTTTTCTTTCCATTCTTTCTACTTTTCTTTACTTTTTAGTTTCCTAATAATTTATCAGAGAGAACAACCACTTAGCCTCTTTCAAAGAATTAAAATTTTTCACCTGAAAGGGGAGCCAGGTGTAATCAACGTGAAATTTATCAGGTTCCCAACCATAATTCTGATGCATCCATTAATTTGCTCTGTGAATCTCCACTCAGATGTCATCCCCTCTCTGTCCCTCAGATGCTCACCTTTTTCAAGCCAGTGTGAAATGCAAAGTGAAAATGGCATAAAAGACACTGCAATAGCCATGCAATTAACAAACGGAGAATAAGTCACTGAGTCTTTTAACGACTTTTTTTGTCATACAGACCTGAAGTTAATATTCCCCCGTTGCCTTATTCCTTTTGTACAAAAAAAGCTTAAGATGATCTTTTGGCCTTTCACAAACAAATACAACATCACTAATAACGACTGTTCGACTCCTCCGCACAGAAATCACATAAACCCTCCACGAGCTTCCTCAGGGCTGAGAATCCATTTACCACACAGCAAGCAGGAAACATGCACAACTGCCAATATCACTGCTAGATACCTGCTAATATGCCCCCACAGAATGCAAGCTTTAAATAAGGGCCACTGTCATTTCTAAAGCAAGGCAGGGTGTTGCTTTGTTTTCGTTTTGTTTTGTTTTGTTTGGCAGTGGAAACCAGAGTGTTAAAACAATTTTCCATAAGTGCATAAAACACTGACACATCCCAGCTTCAAGCGGTGTTTATCATGAGCTGTCAAAACGCTGGTTCTCTTTTGCAGCCAGAGAGTAACTTGACCACATCAGACAAAGCTTTGATTTCACTAGGGAATGGCGGGGGTGGGGGTGGGGGGGGTGGAAATCTTATGGAACTGAGGAGACAAATTTGATGAAATAATTTCCTGCAGTCATTAAAATGGCAATGCTCATTGTTACTAGGCAAAGCTCTGAAACCCTGAATTTCTCCATTACATATCCCTACAAACACTTACTGATATAAACAGCTTTCATCTTACATAAACCATACTGAGCTTACTATTCCTCAAACAACTCTTTCCAAACTCTGCTATAACTAGAAATGAATTCGAGACCCAGAGAGAGCCTCAGAAGAGAAATGTGAGATCACAAATGGTTCCCATTATCATCAAAATAAAAGGCACAACCACTGCCTACCAGAATTTCTATGAGGCTCTGAGGGCATTTACAGGTTTCACCTGACCTTCTTCCTTCATTATTCTCAATAGCAGCAGGGAATAAGAGAGAGAGAGAGACAGGGGCCCTCCAATCCTTTCTCCACCAAGCAGCAAGAGTGATCTTCCCAAAGCAACAGCTGATGTTGTCACCTGCTGTTTAAAAACCTTCAATGCTTCTAACTGCCCTAAGGATAAAAATCCACCCTCCTTCCAGGTCCGGCCCGGCCTCTTTCCCTAACGCCATCTCCTGCCCCTCTCCTCCCAACAACTCTCCATAATGTCATTCAGCCCCACGGGTCTTCTACGTTCCATAAACATGCTGAGCTCTAGGAGGTCATCCTGTGGACAAAGAGGAGAAGGACACAGCCAGCAGAGAAAACAGCAGGTGCAAAGGCCCAGAGGTTGGCAGGGAGGTAGCTGAGAGAGACAGTTAAGGGCTCAGACTCCAGTGCAAGACTGGTCTTGGCTGGATTACTTAACAGTGTGCTCCTGTACGAGTCACTTAACCTCTGTGAGCCTGAGGCCTGTCACCTACAAAATGGGGATTAAAAACCACACTCACCAGGACATGGCAGCAACCTAAGTGTCCATCGACAGATGAATGGATAAAGAAGATGTGGCATGTATACACAATGGAATATTACTCAGCCATAAAAAGGAACAAAATTGAGTTATTTGCAGTGAGGTGGACGGACCTAGAGTCTGTCATACAGAGTGAAGTAAGTCAGAAAGAGAAAAACAAATACCGTATGTTAACACATATATATGGAATCTAAAAAAAAAAAATGGTTCTGATGAACCTAGGGGCAGGATAGGAATAAAGACACAGACATAGAGAATGGACTTGAGGACATGGGGTGGGAGGGGGAAGCTGGGATGAAGTGAGAGAGTGGCATGGACTTATATACACTACCAAATGTAAAATAGAGAGCTAGTGGGAAGCGGCCGCATAGCACAGGGAGATCAGCTGGGTGCTTTGTGACCACCTAGAGGGGTGGGATAGGGTGGGAGGGAGGGAGACGCAAGAGGGAAGAGATATGGGAACATATGTATATGTATAACTGATTCACTTTGTTATACAGCAGAAACTAACACAACATTGTAAACAATTATACTCCAATAAAGATGTTAAAAACAAAACAAAACAAAAAACAAACAAAAGTGCTCACTTCACGGGGCCGCCGTGTGGATGAAATGAGCTGCCGCCCTTAGCAGGCTTGGCACCATGTCTGCACGTGGTAAATGCTCAGTGAATGAAAGCTCATTTTACACGGTGGGTGATCACGTGAAAGGGACATGAAAGAGGAGGAGGAGGAGAGGCAGGTCTCCGGAAGCCACATGGAAAAGGGCCACATGTTCCATAACAAGTGGCTCAGACGGCTCACCGGCTCCAAAGCAGGAATGTCACCAAGAGAATTGCTAACCGTCAGCCAGGCACTGTTCTCGGTGCTGGGGTGCAGGAAAGTCATGGGGTTCACATCCTAGAGGTCAGACAAACTGGACTAGAGCTCAGAGAGAGAGGAGGACTTGGGAGATGGGGGATCGGGAAAGGCCTCGCCCAGAGACAAGACTCAGGAGTCACTTCTCGAATCGGCCTTGACACGTGCCAGGCAGCCTCCTGTGGCCGATCCATGCCCTAAATCACAGCCCGGCACTCACTGTGTTCTGGCACCATCAACACTCAGGGCCACTTTAGAAGTCTGTCGTGTTTCTTACTACTCTCAGCAGTTGTATTTCCTCGAAAACTAATCTGAAGGCGGTTAAGGAGGTGCCATTTGACAACACTAATGACGGTGACAAAGTCAGAGGGAAATGCCAGGTGGAGGTACACTGACCACAGCTGATGTAGCTTCCAACAGAGCCCAACATGGGCCAAAGCACTGGGAACTGAGCCCCGATTCTCTGAAAGGCCCAAGGGAACACGTGGATGGCAGCAGGTACGGTTCCCAAGTTATATCTGGCAGGTGCACAGCTCATGAGCTAATAAGGTGTGAATGCTTGTCAGTCAACATTTGGGTTTTGTCGTTTAGGCTGGAGAGAAGACGGTAGAAAGACTAAAGAAGTTTAAGTCACTAGGCTGTTTGGCAACATCTGTCAAACTTCTGAAATCACTTACCTGTGGCTTAGCAAACCCCTGCTGTGGAGTAGCCTGTGCCTCTATTTGCACATGTGCTCAAGCAGACGTTTAGCTCTAAATGGCTGGAACCCACCTAAATGCCCAACCACAGGGAACTGGTGCAATCTATCAGGTTCCACTGCTCTCTCCCACTGCCTGCCACTTGGCAGACATCACTAGTCAATCACCGCTACCTTCCTCAAGAAGATACCCAGTCAGCCCTAACCAACTGATCAGTGTGTTGGCCTACACGATGACACCTATTTAGTATCCCTGGCATAAAGGGTCATCATTGACG